ATTTACATTTTGCAACTTTTTTGGAAATGGGGTTGTAGTAAAAAAGTGCATATTCAGCTTTTAATCCTTAGGCTGGCTTGACACAGTGAGACTTACATGCAACTTTAGTTGCTTGAAACCTACAGGAAACTAAACTCACTTGAGTTGCATAATGTAAAGTATCATGCATCTCATTTGAAAATCAGCTGCAAAAGATGCAAGCGCCTCAACTTTGTGGAGTTTTCATGAAACAGCCGGACAAAATGCAGATAACGCAACACATGATCATATCAAATGAAATCATTTCAAATGACTGACTTCACCAGGTCAATGGATAAATTAACTTCATGCAAGATCGGTAGTTTATCATTTTGTCAGTTTCCGAAGCTAATGTTACTGTTACAAGCTGCCAGCTGACCCTGACAGCTGATAAAAAGGCTGCTTGTGCCAGCGTTTATTCTTCGAGCCTGCTGTTATTGTTATCTAGTCATTGCACAATTACATCAGATTATTGATTTTCTCTTCTCTTTATGCCCCTATTTCACAGAGCTCAGATTAATCTGGGAACCAAATGATAAATTATTATAGTAGAGGCAGCAGAGAGAACTCCTTAATGAACTTGTTGTGCAAGATATTGGGTACCGTAATGGCTCTTTTAAAAACAATATATAGTGAGAACAATACAGTGCACTAAAAAGTACAAGATGTTCATTTGGTTAACTAGTAGACTAATCGAATGTGTTGCATGCAACTTTCTGCTTCACGTAACTGTCAAGTTGCACAGAAATTATGTTTCAGGAGACTCACAACACGCAACATGTAGCTGCATAAGAGTTTCTCTGTGTAAAGCAGATATTACTGTCATTATGGCACAATATTCTATAATCACACAAGTATATAATTAATTATATAATCAGCTAAAAAATGCATTAGATATCTATTCAAATTATTTTTTGAATGTGCAGATATGAATCTTCACTTCTAACTTCAGACCAACAATAATCTGTTCAAACACAAACACACACCCTTCAGGGTCTTACTGAACATGCATGCTTTTGAAAGCAAGATCCTAACAACAGTCCGACAGTTTACAGATGTTTACAGACAGTTTACAGATGTCTAAATTACATCTGACTGAAAGCACGGAAAGGTACAGCCGACGAGTGCATTCCTGTGATTTAAAAGGTTTGAAGAGCATAAAATTTACATCTACACATACAAATTTACACTCTGACATCCAGCTCATATCATTCCACATTTATGTTTCAGACACTGCTTATAATATAACACAGAGACTCTGACTGCTTTACAAATGACATCCATTAAAATCAATGGATATGAAGCGCCCGTTTTGATCCGATCCATAACAAATAAGAACAGAAATATCTGCTGGCTGCATGTGAGAGGCTTTTGGCACATCATTCAAAAGAGCAGATGAGGCAGGGAAAATGACAGTAAGATGATATTAAAATTGAGGAGTATGACTAGGACTCCAGGACATGCACATAAATCACAGCGCGCAGCCGCTAACGTGACAATGGCAAAACTGATACAGCCAAAATTGTTATAAATGAATACTTGAATAGATATGTATCAACTGTCAGGCTACAATGCTGGTTTGGTCTTATCAAGGTGCATTATTTGTCATATCACTGATGCTTCTGGATGGGGTCAAGTGAGCTGACTGAATGACAGCAAGATGTAATTCTTACAATTTACAGAGATAAGATGCAACAGCAGCCTGTGTGGTTCTTACAAAACTAGACTTACAAAAGAGTTTTGGCACAGTAAAATACGCAATATTATTGTCTAAATTGAGAGTCATGAATTGTTCAACAACGGTATTTGCATGTCTAGCACCTTCTCTGTCTGGGAGGGTTCAGAAAGTAGGAGTTAGTGCTGTATTTTCTGAAATGGAAGCAGTGATTGGTGGTGTTCCTCAAGGCACTGTTCTAGGCCCTTTGTTGTTTCTGTTATATACAGTATTGATGACATGACTTCCTGTTTGTAAAGAAGTACGTTATAGTCACATTCTTCAAAAAATAAACTAAATTAAAGCCTGAGAGTCTCTGTGTATATCACCATGTATAATAGCATCTCTGGATGCTGAAAAGGCGTTTGACAGGGTGGAGTGGTCCTTTCTCTTTGCTTCTCTTAAACACTTTGGATTTGGCCCATACTTTATCAACTGGATAAAAACATTATACAACTCACCTTCTGCCTCAGTCTCAACAAACAGACATATATCCAGACCCTTTCAGCTACAAAGAGGAAGTCGACAAGGATGCGCTTTATCACCTTTATTGTTTCGTCTTTTTATTGAACCCTTGGCTGCTTCTATCAGACTCTGATAGAATAAAATCTCAGGTATACAGTCAAAGTCATACCACCATAAAATCAGTCTATATGCAGATGATGTTTTACCGTATATTACTAACGCTTCACTGTCCCTCCCATCAGTTCATGATCTGATAAATAAGTATAGCAGGGTGTCTGGTTATTCCATCAATTGGGCCAAATCTGAGTTTCTGCCTCTAAGTAAATTCAACTGGGATGACGAGGTCTATGATATACCATCTGAACATATCGCCCAGTCTATTAAATATCTTGGTATTCATATCTCTTCTAACATAAATGATTTATATAAACTTAACTACATACCTTTAATGAAAGAAATAAAGGATAATCTAGAAAGGTGGAATAAATTACCATTAACTCTAATTGGCCGAATATCAGCAGTTAAAATGAATATCCTTCCTAAAATCAATTATCTGTTTTCTATGACCCCTGTTACCCCACCGTCAGGCTGGTTCTCCTCTCTTGACAATGCAGTGACTAAGTTCTTTCGGAAGCACTAAAAGCCTCGAATCAAGTTAGCTACCCTCCAGAAACCTAAACATCTTGGAGGACTTGGAGCCCCAAATTTCTACTACTACTTTCTATCACATCAATTGCTTTACATTAGACATTGGACAACTAGCTCAAACCAACCCTGGCAAGATATTGAGGAAAGTTTAATTCAAGAACTGGACATTAATAGTATTCCATTCACAAACAAAGCTATAAAAAACAAAATTTTATAAATGCAGTACAATAAGTACCACCCTGAATGCTTGGTGGAATTCAAACAGAATTCTTAAATACAGCCACTCTCCCTCCAGTCAAACTCCTCTGTGGAACAACCCCATGTTTTTAATAAATAACAAACCTTTCATATTCTCAGCCTGGAAACAGAGAGGAATAACCAGCCTGGCACAGTTGTTCTCTGGTGGCTTGCTCATGACCTTTGATGACATCAAAGAAAAATACAATATACCAGATAATTGTCACTTTCAGTATATACGACTCAACGATGTTCTAAAGAAGACAGTTAATAGTGGAAATTTCTGCAATCACACTCCTCCCCTCTACTTAAAACTACACTCCCTAAAACCTCAGAAAATGTTATCACAAATATATAAACTTAGCCTCAAAGGACAACACTATCTCACTCCCACCTGAAAAATGGACCTCAGATATAAAAGAAACATGTAATGTCAACTGGCAAAATATATGCACTGATATCTTCTCTATGTCCAGCAATTCAAAACTCCAGCTAATTCAATATAAAACCCTTCACAGAACATATATCACAGCCTCTAAACTACACCGTATGGGATTCAGTCACAGTGATAAAGGCCAACATTGTCCAGCTTTAACAGACAACTACTATCATGCTTTCTGGAATTGTCCCCCGACCCAGCAGTTTTGGTCAGAGGTCATGGACAGGCTATCAGAGATTTTGGGCCTTGTCATCCTTTTATGTCCCATCGTAGCACTACTTAATGACCTTTCCTCACTTTCAGCACCCAATCACCTCAAATGCTTTATATTCACATCATTTACCATTGACAAAAAAGTTATACTGCTGAACTGGAAGGACAGAACCAAAATTTCAATAAAGCACTGGCTTAACCTCCTCATGGATCACTGCAACTTGGAAAGACTCACAGCAAATTTTAAAAATAACACAAAATACAAAAATCATTGAAGGAAACAATTTTTTGGTCACAATTTTTACAATATATTGAGAGCTGATTTCTCTCTCCAAATTCATCAGGGAAAGGTTAAAACCCCTACATAGGATTTGATAACTACCCATGTTATAATTACATAAAAGGGGGGGGGCATTACTGCCTTGTTTATTGTTTTGTTAAGTGTTTGTCTGTCCTGTATGTCCAGTTTGTAATTATTATTATTATTTTATTATTATCATTACTATAATTATCTCATCCTTTCTCTTTACTTCTTCTGTTTTATCTCTGTTATTTCTGTTCCTTGTTTCACTCAAAGCAGGGGGTGGGTGAGAGGGTGGGGGGGTGGTGTTTGGAGGGGTGTTGGGTGGTTGTGGTAGGAATAAAAATAAAAATATAAACAGAGAAAGTCACTTCACCACACGTATTACACTGATAAATTTGTATTGCTTCTCGTTCTCCTTAAAAAATAATTAATTTTTTTCAATTTAATATTACTTAAAATACTGTTCACTCCTGTGGCACTCGCTTTGGAGGGAGACTGTAACACAAATTCACTTCCACTGTCACCTATTAAAAAGACTTTTTAATCATGCACAGTTCATTATTAAAATTTGAAATAAAGCCTCATATTAAAATTAGGCTTTATTCCATAACATATCATTAAAACCTGCAACCATCCCTTCCCTATCTGCAAATTACCAACTACTTCATGATTTGTAAGTATAAACGACAACATACTACTATAATACTGTACACTGGAAATGGATACACGGTCGCTTACCAATCCACCTGAAGTAATGAACTGTAAAATACAGTGCACAACCCCCAAGCATTTCTAGCACCCGCAACACCCACAACAAATTAATTATAATCTTTCTCTCTCTCTCTCTCCATAGAAACAGCATTTAACCTCCCCACATGGTGCCCAAAGCAAAATATGTGTGATACGACTTTTCGTTCTGGTGCAACTATTTCATTAGTTTATGCCCATATTAGGTTACTTACATTATATCCGCCAATTAGGTTGAGACACGATCCTTCATTCGAGCAGTTAACAGAGAGCAGCCTGCAGTAGTCAATTATATCTTCGCAGTTCTTCCCGGAAAAGCCTCTGAGGCATCTGCACAGAGATGGCATTAGGGTTGGCATTAGGTTTGGCATTATGTTGAGTCCTGTTTGCATGCAGAGATTTTACAGGGTTACGCCACGGGAATGAGCTTGAGAACACCAGGCACGGCTTCACTCTGATTGCTATAGACGTTATGGAGCAAAAACATCTAACCGCAAAGCATCACTTTATATTACGCTGACATGTTCATGGCTCACAAAAGATCAGCTGTGCACGTGTTTTTTGTGAAGTATACGACTATATGGAATATGGATATGTCTATATATATTAGACATTCTCTAAAAAATCAAAACTTTCAGCCTTTCAAAATGTCTTCAACACACATTAGTTTGTTTTCTTGGTCATATTATAGACTAACCCGGTTTATTTGGAGAAAACAACATTACATGTCTAAATATTAGTGACAATAAGTGTGACAGTACGACCTTGAGTATAATAATAAACAACATACATTTCAAAAGTAGGGTCTTATGGGCCCAGTGCCAAACAAAAGTTGTTTTTTTTTATTTTGTTTTGTTTGAATAAACAAATTAACAACAGTGTTTACGTTTTACAGTTATTATTATATCATTAAAAAAGGTTAACACTCTCAATTTGCCCTCCACTCACTAGCATCCAACCTTACCTTAAAGGTTTGTATTAGATTGCCTGGTAAAATAGCATGTTTAGTTGATTTTCTAAGTGAAAACAAATGAACACATACTCCACACGGACCAACTGTCAATACGACTTTTTCTAAAAATTTTAGTGCATGGTTTCTATTTATTTAAATTTGAGTTTAATATTGAAAAAAAACAAAACAAAAAAAAAAAACATTATTGTGCCATAACGTTTGCACAACATTTTTTTTTTTTTTTTATATGTTAAATTCAGTAAATAAACAGTAATTGTGTTTTTAATTTAATTGTGTGAAGAAGAAACTTAATTACACAAAGAAAATTAACAAAACATGTTGTTACATTTAGATGTGCGACACTGTTTTCTTCCAAATAAACCAGGTTATTTTAGGGATGTTCAAAATTTTGCATGCGACTGTACATCCTCAAATAGAAGGTGCTGTAAATATTATTTCTATAACAAAACACACAAAAAAGCAAGAATACAAATCATTGGAAAACAGCCAAAACTGGATTTTCCTCCCATGGTAGCTTTCCCTCCATGCTGGTGTTCCGACAAACAGACTTTGTACTGGGCAATATGACAATACATATTGTTATTATGATAAATTATATCAATATAGTACAGTATGCTTTTGTGAACACGTTGTGTACATCGTCAGTACTTGTAGGCAATAATCAGCAGCATGTTTCATTATAAAAAGAACAAAATTAGCCCCAACTAACTGGATTTAGTGAAACACAGTATGAGAAATACTGAATAAAATCATTGTAGTAAGTTTTTAATAGTATTTTTTAGTATTAAATTATTATATTTTTGCCATGTTGTCCACCTCCGACCGAACTCTAACCAGTTCACACCGTGAGTGAGTGATCAGAATGAGCTAATGTTACTCTCAAACGTCACTAAAGCTCATCATGTTACATTACTAGTGTTAGTCACTGGAATAGTCTAAGCTGTATCAGGTTCTGGTCATTAGAATTGTTTAGCAGCCATTTAAAAACTACTGAACGATCAGCAGCTCGAGCTGTCACAGTGCTGCATACATTAGAGTGCTAACTACGCATTCCTGCTTCATTCGCTTGAAATAGAATAAAAATAGAATAGAATACAAATAGAGTTTGTAAACACAGTTCTCACGTATCCACTCGTCCTGGAAGGCTGTTCACTTACAGCTCGCCTAGTGAACTTTAACCGGTTAAATGATGCCGCAGCATGAAGATCTATAGTGTTTTTCTACATATTTATTATTATATCACTTATTTGTGGCCATTATTTATTAGCTCTAAATTATAAGCAGGCTTAAATGAAGTGCTACTTTTTTCCCACTGGTGGAAATTCAGTCCTTGGTGAATCCTCAGTTTACCAGATCAGTGCCAGACACTTCATTATTACAGCTCTTCACATTCACTGGCCACATTTAAGCCAATTGACTGATTGTTAGTTGATTAATTCCCATAAATAATCAAATGTCATAACTACTGTGGTGTTCATTTTCACTGGTGCTCTGCAGGAAAAACTGTCAGTTTTCTAGTTTAAGTGTGAAGCGCAGGAAATCAAACATCAACCCTCAGAAAAATTCAAAAGATGGCAAGGTGTCCTCAAACTTTTGAAGGGCGGCGTACATGCTTTTTAGCTAAACGTTAAAACTGTGGGATTCAGGGGTTTAACTGTCAGCTTATTGTTTGGCCATTTCACATTCGTCTGGTCCTTTAATCTTGTGTGTATTAATGAAATTCTTTCCATTTAAATGAAATACAAAATGCCACTCTTTCTAGAATGACAGCAAAATATTTTCCTTTTTATGAGCTGGCCTGAAATAACGTTCGCTTTTAAACCTGCAGCTACGCATCTGAAGTTTACTGAAACTGTGAGCATGCCAGGCTCTAATATCCTAACCAAAGAATTCATATTTACAGTATTTCTCCACAGTTCTACGGAGATTTTAGGCCGCTGCTCAGCTTGCAGGGTTCAGCTGCATCGCCTCGGTACATGCACAATCTTGATTGTACTCAGGTTATTGTAGAACATATTGCATTCATTTTTAATCTTTTAATATTTTATCAAGCAGAATTTCCAAAGTCTGGAAAACCGCTCGTATTGTTCCGCTACACAAAGGAGGCGAGGCATCGGATGTAAATAATTATGGACTGATTTTGAAACCGTCATGCTGAGCTGAAATTTTAGAAATATTAGTGAACACCCAACTCAGAACACTCCCCAATGATAATCATGTTCTGTTTAATCATCAACCTGGCTTTAGAAAAAAACAAAAACAAAAAAAAAACAAAACAAAAACATAGAACCATTTCTGCTACCAGACTTGATTTAAACGATCTTTTAACAGCCACAGACAGAAAGAAGCACTGAGTGCCCTTTTTATTGATCTGGCCAAAGCATTTGATACTTTTGACCACTCACTTCTTTTAAGTTGTTTACAAACAATTGGTTTTGATAAAAATGCAATAAACTGGGCTCCAAACTACCTCTCAGATAGGCTACAATGTGTGGCGCTGGGTAACTACAAATCAGATTTAATGCCCATCACTAAAGGAGTCCCGCAAGGTTCAATCCTTGGCCCAGTCTTATTTAATCTATACATTAATGATCATACTGCCTCTGGCTCTGAGTGCGCCTGTATGCAGCTGACACTATTCTGTATTGTTCATGCAGCAGTAAAAATACCTCAGTGCTCCTTCAGTGCCTCACAGATTGCTCTGTAGAAGCGTAAGCTAGTTTTGAATGCAAAGAAAACTAAATTCATGCTGTTTTCCAGAGCCCTTAGTATTGATTTCAACATATTAACGCCCCGTCGGGATCCAGTATTGAGAGAATCACAGACTATAAGTTCTTTGCCATACGGCTGGACGTTAAATTTACGTTTAAATATCACAATAAAAGCCAGGTAGTAAATGTAGGCAAAAGCTCAGATTCTTGCACCGAAATAAGATGTTTCCTAAAGCACACTAGGAAAAGGATCAGGGAGAAACCTTATTACCCATCCTAGACTACGGTGATGTGATCTATAGACACAGATCTACCTTAATCCTATAACAGCCTTAATTCTTTAGATTTTTTGTTAGATTTAGTCTTGTTAGCCTTAATTAGTTTTAATGGATAAAATAAATGTTTTATTTTTTCAATCTCTGCTTGCTCGGCTACACTGTAAAGGAGGGTCACCCTCAACTTCGGAGTCGGAATACAGGTTGATTGATTAGCAATTATTTTAGAACTCTTACCTTTTATAACTCTGTTTTAAGGCCTTTACACACCAAACACAATATATTCCTGCGATTTATTCGGATGACCGTAAATTAATTCGATTGTTTGTATAACTAAGGCTCTCTTTTACACCAAACGTGACTTTTGAAACGGCGAAAATGTGCTGTTATTTTATTCACCCCCTGTTTTATTTTTGAAAATCTGCAAACTTTCACTGGTAATAACAACTCACTGACACCTCGATCACCTCCGCTGTTGGCATGGCGACAACTATGCTGACAGACTAGCTGTGCTCCAGCAAACAGAACTGCTTCACAAACGCTAAAAGGCTCAGAATCTCCAAAAGCAGCTCAAACTGAGCTACAAACATGGAGTTGTGATGAAGCTCTTCGTGCCATTTTCACTTTTCCAGAAGAACCGTTATTTGTTTTGAGCTTTATTGTGAAGCTGCATCTCCAAAATCAGCTCAAATATTTACAAATATAAAAAGGATGATTTCTGTGTGTATAGTTTTGATGCGATAAAATCGTGCCCAAATATTTTGCATTCGCTGTGTAACGGCCTTTATCCAGGACGGAAATAGTTACACTTCATTACGAAGAGAATTTAAATCTTTTTTTTTTCTGTACAAAAGAAAAAAGGCCTCATTATGATAACCGTCCTGCTGCTGTATGTAAGAAGCAACATTCCTCAGCTCTGCAAGAGTCACTCTTACTCTCTCTCTCTGTGGTTATGACTGTATGTACTCACACACTGTCTCATTAATCCTCCAGTCATCCTTCGCCTCTCTTAGGATTTTTTTTCACTCACTCCATCTCATCCGATTGTCATTTAGTCTGAGGGGCCGTTTGAATTTATGGACTCGAGTGATCTTTGCCATTATGGCTCATGGAGATGTACAGCGGGAGATAAGCGAGGCAATAGCTCTAAAAAAGGCCCCTCAGAATCCGGCAGCCTCGGCGAGAGCTAATAAAGCACCACTCTTCGTCATTTCGCCCCTCGTTATCAGTAAAAAGCAATTCAGACCCCGTCACATGACGGGGACTAAACCTCCCTCTCCAAACCGAGAGCAATATGAAGCTGTGCGTGAATCTTTTCATTGTCCTTAACGAACTAAAATACATGCAAAGACTCTAAAATGAGACGTTAATGTTATTAAAGTGTAAATAAGAAAACCTTTTATGTGTAAAAACTTTGGTAGTTAAATGTGGAAGCAGAATAAGACTAGAATGAAATTGTGAGGAAGATCTGGGAGAAAACTAATTCAGAAAGGAAGAAAACAGTCATTCCAAAACATACTGTACGGTTAAAAAGTTTTAATAATTAATAAGTAAATATACTTTATTACATAAAAAATAATTATAATAATGAAATATAACAAAGTTCTATAAACTAGTACAAATTCTTCTATTTTGCATTCTCTTCTAACTGAATACAAAGTTTTTCACAAGAAATTCTGTTCTCAGCATAACAATCTGAGTGAAAAGCGTCTCAAAATCTCTCAAAATTTTAACATGAATTTCAGAATTTCTTTGAATTTTAAATGGATTCCATAAACTTGTGATTGTGATTATCTTATGATAATGATCAAATCCACAGAGTCGTCTGAACAGGAGGTTCAGTAGAAGACGTAAGATTTAAAAAATAATCAAATGTTTTTTCAACTTCATTTTAATTGTCTTTTCTTTGCGTTAACATTTTTTCACATTTTTAAAACTTTCTGTTGTTTATTTATATATTTTGATGAAAAAAATTCCTAGGTAGTCTCTGGATCCCATTGTGAGGGGGGCAGGGGAAAAAATATAACATTTTACACACAAAGGCATTTTAGTTAACAACAATGATGATAAAAATATTAACAAGAGATTATTTTTCATATACATTTCATTTTTGTCAGGTTATGTCTCTTGAAAAGCATTCTGAATAATAATTTTATTACTATATCTTTTTGATGCTACACTGGATGTTAGCCATTTTCTGAATCATCTACAACTCTAATGTTGAACACTGTGAAGAAATTATTTCTTTACTTTCCTTCCTATTAATACTTATTAATACTAATTATTTGAATCCCATGCTGGGACTCTTTACTCATTTTATCATTAATTAATTATCATTAATTATATCAGCAACCAAACAGTTTTTACAGCTCTGAACAAAATGTTTTCAAAACTTTGGAAGATTCAAGAGTGAACTTTTGAATGATAATGTATTATTGTGTGTACTGTAAAAATGAAGTGTGCTATGTATTACAGTAGTGCACCATACTTAATGTTGTTGTAATGTATATATGTATCGCTGTTGTCGGAAGAAAACCTTGTATCTTCATTTTTTGTTGTTTTTTAGTTTCTGACATTTGAAAATACATGTTACCCTTTACATTGTGTGTACATTTCATGATAAATGTATATATAATACATGTGCGTGTGTGTATATATAGACATACATACATGTAGTGTAAACATGCCCACCTGCAGTAGTACTGGTCTCCTCTCGCCACGCAGCTGCCGCGGTTCAGACAGGGAGACGGGCTGCACGGCCCCCCCAGCTCCCTGCAGTCCGGGCCGGCACACACACATGTGGAGTTCTGCACACACAGAGGAGATAAAAGAAACAGGCCACGCGTGAGGCTGGGAACTTGCGTGTGTGTTGGGCCACACTCAGAGACGAGCTGCATCAGCCAGAGCCATAGATCATCACGGACAGCCGGGCACGGAAGAAGTCAGCTTTATAGAGACCGAGCGCGGGAGTGAGGGAGTTAAAGCTGGGATATAGAGAAACAACCCTGTAAAACAGCACTGGAGCTACTGTATCTATCCGTGAAGGGCAGCGTCCTGTTAGCACAGTGCTAACTGGCTCCTTACAGCTTTCACTCAACATTAACGATGCTCTGATTATGGAATTTATAACAATAATGATTCATTAACACCTTGTTGTGGACAACATCCATAATTTATACTGTACTGCAGTTTAACCTATTCATATTCATTTCTGAAATATTATGGTTTTTTATTGGTCTACATGTTCTCTGAGCTTGCCTGTGCACAAACCTGAAGAAATGTTTCTAAATGATCAAACTACATGGCTAAAAAAGTGTTTTCACCACTTATTAAATTCAGTCCTTTGGTCACACTACTGATTTTTTGCTAAATATAAAAAAAAAATTGAATAAAAACATGAAAATATGTACTCAAAACAATTCAGTTGGCTACTGTTAGATGTAAAACTGCACAAAAATTCACTTTTCCTAATCATACCTTCATTGTTAGAAATGAATGAGTTAAAATTAGGGATGTAATAATTCTCCAAATTCATATTTCATAATGAAAGTCCCTATAAATCTGCCTTATGTTAATATATTGATGTTTCCTTTTTCAGTTTAACATTATAAATATACAACGCTTCAAAAAACTGTGCTAGCCACGAGCTAATACATTAGCCTCGGGCTAACATACACTTATGAGGAGTGTGCTTTTCTTTAGCTCTTGATTGTAAAGTGGAAGAGTCTTTTTCAGTTACTAAATTCTTATTATGCTTAATGCAATATAATCAGTTTTTAAACAAATACATTATTTCGCTCCAGCCTGTTGAATGTGTCACTCAGTATCTATATTACAAAAACATACCATAACACTTTATGATTTATATATAAAGTGGATGATAAAGCTGCACTATGTAGGTTTTGGGGATTTGGAGACCTCTCTGGTGGAAATGTGTAACTGCACACAATGCACAGAAGAAAATGTTGAGACAATGAATTTATAACGAGCTCTTCTGCAGCTCAATTTCAATATATATGGAGTGGGAAGTGACTGGTGATTGATTGCAGCAGATAAGTCTTCCTCAGTGACTTTTATTAGTACAGCAGAGCTGATATCCATGTTTACCTGTGCGTCAGTCAAAACTAGGACACTCAAATGTTGTGATGCCAAATCCAATGGCTGATAATAGTGACATTTTCCCTTTACTGGCTAAAAATATATATATTAGCCACTGACATATACCACAGACCTCTATTCATCATTAGCAGCACTGGTGTCCTGGGTGACGCCTGCCTTTAAACAAACCCAAGACAGACCTCGAAAGGCTGCCCATGAAGCAGCAACACACAGAGACAAGTCATTAGCCGCCTCTGCTCTCCAAACTCCGTCTAACTGATCCTGACATCAATACTATTTTCAGGCCAGGCCGTTCAAAGATGAGCAATATAACAGGACCGCGATGCCAGATGAGAGAAACACGGAGCCGCCTACTGCCATCGGCCGCGGCGGGGAAAGGATCATTTCATTTTCATACAGATGAGCTTCTATAGACGCACCTAATCAATCGAAAACAGATCAGTTTAGAGGATGTGTGTGTGTGTGTGTTTGTTTTTGTACATTTCCAGGACAATGTAGGAATGTCCTGACTTTGTAGAGAACCCAGAGAAACATAAGGGCGACCTACTTTATCAGGATCAGCACAATGGTTGAGACTTTTTAATAAAATCTACATGTTTCATTTTTGATAACTGACATTATTATTATATATAGGTTATATTTTATTGCAATAAATTGTGTTATCATATATCGAGGACACTGTCAGTACTGGCCAACAGCATGCTGCAATAAAAAGAGAGCAAAATTATTACTATTTAATTGGACTGAGTGCAGTGCAGTATGTGCAATGTTGAATAATAATCAATAATTTTGTCTGCGCGTCAAAATATTGTGTATTTTAAAAATTTTTGCAAATTTTGTGACATTTCTTTTTTCCCTTATTGCCCACCCCTAATACAGATACAGTACTGTTTAAACATCACTCATTTATTTAGCTTCCAGTCAAAATGGCCTCAAATACTATCCATTTTAGGAAATATTCCTGAAGAGAACACAGAATAAAATCCACCTGCATAAGGAAAGAAAAAAATAAGACAAAACAAAAATACTGTTCAAAAAATGATAAGAAGCTACAGAGAAAATGTGTCTCCTTACAACCACCTGGAAGACCTGGTTGACCCCAAAACTGCCCCCATCAGATAAACAGCACTTAAAGCTTTCATCTCTGAGAGAGAGGAGAAAATCAAGCTGCTTCAGATCTGAAAACATCCACAGGTGTTTCTGTCCATCCTTCCACTGTGAGAAGACGACTCAGCGCTGTGGGTCTGAAAGGATGTGTAGCTGATCAAGAAGAACCTCACTGAGAAAAGGAGACGGACACATCAAACAAAGAAGCTGAACGATGGACTGACCTCCCCAGAGTCCAGACCTCAACACCACTGAATGTGTTTGATTACTTCAGAAAATCATCAACCAGCTTCTAAGACTGAACTTTGGAGGTGTGTCTGCAGATTCTTTGAGGAGCTGAAAGGGAGTCTCCTGAAAAGAATGGAAGCTGGAATAAAGAGTTTTTGTGACGACACCTGTGGTAAAAAGCGCTATATAAATAAACTCTGACTTGACTTGATTATCAATAACGTTCTGGCTCAAATTGATCCGATGTGTTTTTAACCATCCTGAACTGGGAAAATCTGCCTATATGTTTCAGAACACCAGCCAGCTGAACTCTCTACAGGAAGCACTAAAGCTCAGCTCGCTGGGCCACTCAGTCATTTAAACTTCTACTCTCTGACCACCTCCACTCAGCCTGACACTGTTTTACCTGATTTTCACATCTGATTATTGTCTTATTTTCATTATTTCAGTTATTTTATTGTTTCATATTCAAATTCTTGTTTTAATATCACTATTTTATTATTATTTGTCAGTTTACTTAATTTTAGTTAACTTTTATTTGATCTTCTTTTGATTTTATTAACTTTTACATTTTAGTTATGCTTTAATTTTTGTTTTATATTTTCCACTGTCTTTAATTATTATGTAGGTTGTATTTATGTATTTACTATTCTTTCCTGATTTGAGTCATTTTTATTTTTAAATTTAGTTTTATTATTTTGTATGTTTTCACACATTACCAATCCATTTTCTTCTGTATCAACTCAGCAACAGTGTAAATGAGGGTCACCCTCAATGTTCTAGGTTAAATAAAGTTTGATTGATTGAAAGTAGTTACATAAGTATATATATTTTTCTTTATAAACATTATCTTTAGCTCAATATTGTTATATAATCAAGTTGTTCCACCCATCACAGTTCATGATTTCTGTATAGGCAAAAACTAAACATTCAGCACATTTGTTTTATTTATTCTTATATAAACTTTTCAAGATTTCTTGTCATTTTCTGTCGTGGGCCATGTTGATTAATACAAACAAAACATTTGTTCTATTCTGAGTCAAACAGACCCTTTTAATTCAGAGCACACTGAATGAGTCGTCCAGCAGGAACAGTTTCATCAAAAATGATTACAAATATTTTTCCTGTAAGAAGGAAAAAACAATGGGCCTCGTTCTCCAGTACCTTCCTAAGTTTGTCCTTAAGTGTGTTCTTGAGAAAGATCCTAAGAAAAAGTCTCCGTCAGATTCATGACGTGTTCTTAAAGCGCAGAACTGTTCTCACCTCTGTGCTCTTGAGTGTGTGTAGATTCTGTTCTTACCTGAGAACAAATCCCACATCAGAGAACATTGGTGAGAATCTTGCGTAAGTGAATTTAAGAAGAAATTTCTTCTTAAGAACGGTTGGTGAATGAGGCCCAATGTTAACTTGTAATATAAGTTAACGTAAAAAGATTTTTTTATTAGTCAGGTCATCATGAAATTTTAACACGACACAAAGGGTGACTTTAGTTTGTCAAATCATGTTAAAATGGCAAAAATGGAGATAAAAGGTTTTTGCCTGTCAGCGATGATGACAAAGACCCATCTCACTCGTTTCTCCTCACTTCGCTCACGCTGCTGTGTTCAGTTGCGCTTCGCTGTGTTCAGTTCAGGCTGAGAGTGTTGGATCAGAATATTAGGACCACACCCAGACAGCTCTCATATAGGTCTGATAAGGTCTGATAAGTTTTCTTTCGGGAAATGTGCTTCGCGTCTGTTTCACATTTACAACACAGTGTAAAGTCCTGTGTACTACTTTTCATAAAATCATCATCATCATCATCATCGTTAACCGCTTAGTTCAGATAGGGTCGCGGTAGCAGTTGGGAGAGCAGAGAATCCCAGCCGACCCTGTCCCCCGCAACTTCCTCCAGCTCATTCCCGGGGACCCCAAGCCGCTCCCAGGCCAACCTGGAGATATAATCCCTCCAGCCGGTCCTAGGACGACCCCGGGGTCTTGTCCCGGTAGTCCGTGCCTGGTACACCCCCACCAGGAGGCGTCTAGGGGGCATCCGGATCAGATGCCCGAACCACCTCAGCTGGCTCCTTTCAATGTGGAGGAGTAGCGGCTCTACTCCGAGCTCCTCCCGGATGGCCGAGCTCCTCACCCTATCAAATAGAGTGTAGCCAGCCACCCTGCAAAGAAAGCTCATTTCCGCTGCTTGTATTCGCGATCTCGTTCTTTCGGTCATTACCCACAGCTCATGACCACAGGTGAGGGTCGGGATGTAGACCGACCGGTAAACAGAGAGCTTCGCCTTATGGCTCAGCTCCCTCTTCACCACTACAGTCCGGTACAGTGACCGCATTACTGCTGCCGTCTGTCCCAGCCCTCTTCCCATCACTCGTGAACAAGACCCCGAGATACTTAAACTCCTCCACCACCTCCTCCACCTTCTCCATCATAAAATATAAAAAATATTTTAAACAGGCACCGAAATGAAAAATGTAACCACCACTACATCCACTACTCCTACAGTAGTGCTGCAGTATTCTCTGGAGCAAGATTTTCTAGTTTAAAGATTAGGAAAACCCTTTTCTTCAAACGCTGTGTTTACACGCAAAGATTTTTGCCAATCCGATTGATTACATTCCGATTATAGATTCAGACTGAGGTGTTTATGTGGCCACTGTCCTGAATAATCTGATGAAAATCTGTTTACATGCTCACTACAAGTAATCAGATTCAAACTTACATGCATGTGTAGAGAACCGCTTACTGTCGACGTTACCATGACAACCAGCATCACGTGAGTCCAGTCAGAGTGAGATGAGCAGCAGTGAGCAGTGCTTGTGTTTTTAACTGCTTTAAATTGATGTCAGACTCAGCAAAACATCCTTCACATGTCCTTATTAAAGAAGGCCGAGAGGAAGACGTCGTGTTCTGAGACACATAAGCTGGACGTCCGTCCCACCGCCGTCTTTTAAAGATCAGAGCATAAACTTCGTCTCCTCTGCAGACCAGTTTCTGCTCCGCCATGTTGAACGGTATAAACTTTCACTATGACGCGACGAACATGATCAGAACGGACTTAAACTTTCCGATAGGGAATGTAATCAGATACAGGCGTTTACACGGATATTATTCTTCTATTTAACGGATTATTTACAGGATTACCCACCTCGATCAGTCAGATAGAAACTGTATTTAGAATGGCCTCAATCAGACTAGACTATTCCGACTGAGGTGGTTACATGGACGTATTCTATTCCCATTGATCTATTAGGCGGATTATTAACGGATTATTAGGCTGCATGTAAACATGGCTAAGTTGGGAGGAACTTTTAAGAACTGCTGCTCCTAGTGGTGTAAATCTCATGAGTTAAAAGACCTTTGAAATTATACAGCTGTTGAAATTACTCAACCTACTAAAAAAAAAAACACCAGCACTCACTCCTCTATTCCATTCTCACTGCAGGCAACGCACATCTATAATAAATATGACATGCAGGCCCCACAGAAACACTGTACAGGAATACTGGACAACACACAGAGCTACAACCTGTTACCTCTCGGCATTAAGACGTTCCACTGCTAGAGGTACAAACGAGTGCTTATAGAGCCCTAAATCCTCAACGTGAGGGTAAGAGACACATCTCAGGTCCATCTCTGCCTCTCTAATTACCGACTGCTCACAGACTGTCTGCAGACATGGGTGACTCTGCATTAGTTCCTGCTTGTTAGCTGGTGGATGCAGAGGCAAGCTGAATCATAACTGTGGTGACTGTGTTCAGATCATCATTACAACAGTGAGAACGAATTGACTCATCAGATGAGAAGGACAACAAGCTAAATGCTGCAGTTAGGACGGTAGCAGCTACCTAGACAGTGGCTAACTAGACACCTCACTGCAGTCTGGACTTTTTCTTCTGGTGTACAAAATACAGAATCTCTGTTTTCTTTACTATTTTGTTTGTCCATCTATGTAACGTTTGCTTGGTTGTATATATTAGTCTACAGATCAGTGGATAGCAGTCAGGACTGCCTTTGGTTCTGATGAGAGGACTGATGAAAATGATATGACATTGTGAAGTCTGTCAAACAGATGAAGCAGAGGGATTTAATGCTGCACTACAGAATAAGCCTTACGAGTCTTGGGCTATTATGGCCAGTTTTAAATACTTTTGATTTTGATTTTTATATTAAATTTAAAATGTAAAACCATGCCTATGCTTAGTATTTTTTTTTTCAGCACATCACCTATATGACCTGACAATAAGTTTTCCATTTTGCACACTGTATCAACATACTGGTCCCAATTTTTGACATTTTTCTGTTATTTCATATGACAAAAATAGTAAAGATATTAAGACAACTGTTAAATGTATTGTCAGACCCATCCCATTTTTACTTTTATGCATAAATGAATTTTTATTAAATTAATATGATATTTACTTGCTCTTTCAACATCAAACAAAAACTAGCATAGAGCTTCAAGCCAGCACTTTCAATGGTAGTTAATGGCAATGCTTAACGTGACTTGCCGTGACGTCTTGAACCAGCTGTGTGATTTGATGCCGGCATGATTGGCAAATCATGAGGGTTAATATATAACGCAAAACAAAACAGTCCAATCAGAACAAGCCATGTCAGTACTGTAACTCATTCTTTTATCATAGAGTAGCAGTAATTCGCTGCTGTTGGAACAAAACCTCGTATCTTCAAATCGGTAACTTTACAGGAGAAGGAAAAAACTTACTTTACTTTTAATGTAAGTTAATGGAACCAGACTTTTTTCCAAGTCATTTTGGGTCATTTCTTTTGGTCCATTCATGTAAAGAGCAAAAGGCATTTTCAAATTATGTCAAAAACTGAAATTTGAGATTTTTGTTCAGACAACAGTGAATTACTTATTACTTATTATTAATGCAAAATTAAATATTATCATGCAGTATGATAGTGTGATTTATCTGAATAGACCACTATACTACTGAGTTCAGTGCTGCCCAGCACTAACCGAAGGGAAAAGTGAAAGAAAGCTCACATGTTCATCTGGGCTGCACGCTTGTTCTTGCTGACAGGCGTGAGCTGCGCAGTACTGGTCGAGTTCTGCGTCACAGTTGGATCCGGTGAAGCCCTCTGGGCACGTGCAGACGTACGTCTCTCCGTTTTCTTCACACTCGCCTCCATTTCTACATGGGTTGGAACCGCAGGGGCTCTTCTCTCCCGCGCAGAAAGTACCTGTAAACAAAGACATAAACATTAACACCAAACACGCTTCGCCTCTTTTTGACTAAACAAGCATAAAGAAGCAAAGCGAGAGAGATTTCTGCTTTAAACCTGCAAAGGGTTGGCCACCACTCGCAGTTCCTGCAGTTTTATGATAAACGCCACCGCAGCGCAAAAGCCAGCACTTTCATGTGTGAAGTTAATGAATGGTTCATTTTTTCTGTTTTTGTAGAAAGTGTCTATTTTGGGTTGAGAGGTTATGATGAAAGGCAGAGTCGGAGTTGGTGTGATGTTGCCATCAAAAGCAATGACTTTCAAACAAATAAAAACACTCGCAGGGGAAATAAGCGCAGCAAACAATCAAAAAGGAGCTGTTTCGCAGCCGGTACGAGGCGTTTTCATGTGGGCGGATATCAAAACAAGAAAGTCTCGCTTGAAAAGCCATCCATGTTCCTCCAGTTCTTGCAAGTTTACAGACTGATACATACATGGAGAACCGCCAAAGTCAATTCATGACAAAAACGCCGGTGGGTGATGGTAATTATTCATAATGAAAAGCACTTTTACTCGCCAGTAACATTCAGTCAACATTCTGTCCCTCTGGCTGCACATTCTTCTCCTGGGAATTCTTTGGACAACCCAAATTCCCAGCAGCGTTCAGTCTAATGGCCTAGCGTGACCTTCACGCAAGTCATCTCCTCAGGAACGTCGTGAGGAAAAGAACAAACGAAGGCGTCATCGTGGAGAAATCTCAGAAGAAACAAAAAAAAACAGCAAACTGTGCTGCGTTCCTTTTCTGTATGCCGTAGCTTTTAAATATAAATAAGTGTATTAGCTCTGGTTCTAATAAACGGGTACGGCATCTCCAAGTCTCTTTGTTCATGTATAATCATCTCCCATCCATTGCGTGGCTGGCAATAAAAGGCACGACAGGCCCTTTAATCAATAACTGAGCTCAAGTTTAAGACGACCTCGGCAGTGGCAGGTAGCCAAGCCATCCTCAGCCTCGTCTGTGTGTTCCTGAATGAAGATGAGTGGTCAAGCCTCAGAACATCGCTGATGGCTGACGGCTGACTTCGAGAATAAAATGTACTGAGACGCTCGGAGTGGCGTCCCACAGCTCTTCTTTGGCCTCATGAAAAATGAGCACATAAAAATTTGAGTAGATTCACCCTCCCTCACCTCAAAAACGGTAAAATTTATTGCTGGTGCTGCTTTTGGATTTTAAAAGGGCTTTTACTATTGATCATATCAGTAATCGAGTGATACACTAATTATTTCAGTGACTGATCGAGTAATCAGAGTTTTAAAAAGCTCAAACAATTAAAGAGAGACTTAACTGGGCAAAAACTGGGCACAGCCTTTCAAAGATTGGTAAGATGGTAGAAGATGAGCCTTTAAAACTATTTACTAGTATAAAATATGTACCAAAAATATACAAAAAATACACTCTTAAAAAAATGGTTTTTCAAAGGTTCTTTAGTAAAAACAATGGTTCAATACAGAACCATGAACACTCAAATAACCATCTGCAGGCATAATTGTTTTTTTGCTGAAATGGTTCTTCAGATCAATGGAGAATGTGTTGTATAGGGTTCTGTATGGCACTAAAAAGGGTTCTGCTATCATCACAAGCTTGACATCGTAACAATAGCTGAACCCTTTTTTGGTGCTATATAGAACAGTCTTAAAAGATTGCTTTGATATTCAGTTGGTTTGTTTGTGGCACTTCCATGCTTAAAACGTTCTTTGCATGGTGAAATGTTTGTTCAGATTGATGGAGAATGGGTTGTGTTCTGTAGAGAACCTTTTTCAACAGTTCTATATAGCACCAAAAGGGGTTCTGCTATTGTTACGATGTCAAGCTATATATAAATATAAACCATATACAAAACATTCTCCATCAGTCTGAAAATGCCTCTATATAGAACCCCTGGTTCTAAACAGAACCACTGCCTTCACTAAAGAACCCTTGAAGACCCAACTTTTTTTTTTAAGAGTGTACAAACAATCAAAGCACTCTGGATGACTTCCTTTACCACTGTTCACGGTTCCACATAGAAACCACTGTCTTTATTGGAGAACCCTTGAAGAACCATCTTTTTTAGGTTGTGGTATTGAAAGATTATCTCGAAACTTCGACATTCTGCCAATACATGATAAGTATCCTAATATTGACTTTTGAGGTTTGATAAATCGAAAAATATTATGGACAAATATAAATTTATTGATTATCAAGTTTTAAGTTTCACATTTTGCACTACAGTCAATCAAATTTAACGGGCCTCTTTGTAATGAAACATTGCATTAGCTCAGTGTTCTTAAAGTACTGACAATGTCCCGATATCCCCTGAAAAGCTTGTAGGTGACATAATTTCTCACAATAATGGTAAATATCATCATATTGCCCCATTTAATCCAGTAATCCAGGCAGTTCTACTGCAGGTAAAGTCACACAATGACAGTAAAATGGCTGACAATGGCTGAAACGTATTGGGGACTAATTTGCATGATCTAATTTGCTAGCTTCATCAGATTTCATTCATTATTTGCAAGGTTAGAGCTTTGGGCCGAATCGTTCCTTTAATTCTTGTCATCCTGGGACCTCAAAGACGAAACCACACGACCTGACAGCGGAGACTTCAGCCGAAGATCACTCTAATAGTCAAACACCGTAAGGCAACTCGGTGGTTTTTGCTCTCCGCTGGTTAAATTTAGACATGACTGCGCAAAGCCAAAGGTTCAAGGTGAGCGCGATTTGATTTTATTCCCTGGCGGTGCTTTGGTTTTCTGTGTTCTTCTGACAACACCAACTCATTTATCTTTCCTGTAAGTCCTTTTTTTCCCTCCCTTAGCATATTCCTGTACGCTAAACCCCCAGATAATACAAAGTCTCTTGTCTATGAAGCGCCGAGCAGATTCGGAGGAAACGTCTCGCTGGGAACCGATCTAGGTGGACGTCTTTTGCTGTTGTTTTCTTGGGGATTCGCAGCGGGATGCCGAACTTCTACAAAGGTTAAAGCCACTTGACATTTCTGTCACTTTTTCAGAGAAATCACTTCCGATAGGTGTGCTGGCCCCTCCTCTGTCCTCTCAGCTTTACAAGAAAAACATACATACTTTCTTTAGTCAAGGCAGTGGTTCTATTTAGAACCATGAGGTTTATACAGAACGATTTGCATCCTTAACCCTCCTGTTATCTTCAAACTTACTAACATCATTTATCCTTGTGGTCAGTTTGACCCCAGCAATTTAAACTTCAGAGAAATATCAGAGTTCTGGTGGGAATTCTGTTCTCCCTTCCCCATGTGGTGTGAACTATGAGTGGTTCTCACACTACTACAGGTGTGATTATGTTATTTATGTTGTGTTAGGTTAGGTGTGTTACAGGTGTGCTTATGTTAGGTTAGGAGTGTTACAGGTGTGCTTATGTTAGGTTAGGCATGTTACAGGTGTGGATATGTTAGGTTAGGCATGTTACAGGTGTGGTTGTGTTAGGTTAGGCATGTTACAAGTGTGCTTATGTTAGGTTAGGCATGTTACAGGTGTGGATATGTTAGGTTAGGCATGTTACAGGTGTGGTTGTGTTAGGTTAGGCATGTTACAGGTGTGGATATGTTAGGTTAGGCATGTTACAGGTGTGGTTGTGTTAGGTTAGGCATGTTACAAGTGTGGTTATGTTAGGTTAGGCATGTTACAGGTGTGGTTATGTTAGGTTAGGCATGTTACAAGTGTGGTTATGTTAGGTTAGGCATGTTACAAGTGTGGTTATGTTAGGTTAGGCGTGTTACAGGTGTGGATATGTTAGGTTAGGCATGTTACAGGTGTGGTTGTGTTAGGTTAGGCATGTTACAAGTGTGGTTATGTTAGGTTAGGCATGTTACAGGTGTGGTTATGTTAGGTTAGGCATGTTACAGGTGTGGTTATGTTAGGTTAGGCGTGTTACAAGTGTGGTTATGTTAGGTTAGGCGTGTTACAGGTGTGGTTATGTTAGGTTAGGCGTGTTACAGGTGTGGATATGTTAGGTTAGGCGTGTTACAGGTGTGGTTATGTTAGGTTAGGCATGTTACAGGTGTGGTTATGTTAGGTTAGGAGTGTTACAGGTGTGGTTATGTTAGGTTAGGCGTGTTACAGTTGTGGTTACGTTAGGTTAGGCATGTTACAGGTGTGGTTACGTTAGGTTAGGCATGTTACAGGTGTGGTTACGTTAGGTTAGGCGTGTTACAGGTGTGGTTACGTTAGGTTAGGCGTGTTACAGGTGTGGTTACGTTAGGTTAGGCGTGTTGCAGGTGTGGTTACGTTAGGTTAGGCGTGTTACAGGTGTGGTTACGTTAGGTTAGGCGTGTTACAGGTGTGGTTATGTTAGGCGTGTTACAGGTGTGGCTGTGTTAGGTTAGGCATGTTACAGGTGTGGTTGTGTTAGGTTAGGTGTGTTACAGGTGTGGTTGTGTTAGGTTAGGTGTGTTACAGGTGTGGTTATGTTAGGTTAGGCGTGTTACAGGTGTGGTTATGTTAGGTTAGGCATGTTACAGGTGTGCTTATGTTAGGTTAGGTGTGTTACAGGTGTGGTTATGTTAGGTTAGGCATGTTACAGGTGTGGTTATGTTAGGTTAGGCATGTTACAGGTGTGGTTATGTTAGGTTAGGTGTGTTACAGGTGTGGTTATATTAGGTTAGGTGTGTTACAGGTGTGGTTAGGTTGGGTGTGTTACAGATGTGGTTATATTAGGTTAGGTGTGTTACAGATGTGGTTATTTTAGGTTAGGTGTGTTACAGGTGTGGATATGTTAGGTTAGGTGTGTTACAGGTGTGGTTATGTTAGGTTAGGTGTGTTTCAGGTGTGGATATGTCAGGTTAGGTGTGTTACAGGTGTGATTATGTTAGGTTAGGTGTGTTACAGGTGTGGATATGTTAGGTTAGGCATGTTACAGGTGTGGTTATGTTAGGTTAGGTGTGTTACAGGTGTGGTTATGTTAGGTTAGGTGTGTTACAGGAGTGGTTGTGTTAGGTTAG